CGGCTTCCACATTTTCTGTACCGGCTAGGTGTACTGCTATCGAAGTAATGTCTCTCAGGATGCACCACTCCCAGATCTGCATCGATAGCCATGCTAACGTCGGTGACTTCGTCCCTCCTTGTTTGTTCAGATAAAAGACTGTAGCGATGTTGTCTGAGGATATCTGAACGACTCGGTGCCGAAGAACGTCCTCGAATGAGCTTAGGGTCTTGAATACTGCCAAGAATTCTAGGAAATTGATATGATTCCCAGATTCCTGTCGATTCCACATGCCTTGAGTGTGTAGGTCAGAACACACTGCTCCCCATCCCAGTAGGGATGCATCGATACCAAGAGTCACCAAAGGGCACCGGGGTCGGAATGGAACCCCTACAGTTAGGTTTGCCGGAATCGTCCACCATAGCAGAGAGTGAAGAACAGAAGATGGGATCCGAAGTAACTTCGTCGGTAAGTCCCTTTGCAGTCAGAACACTTTGTAAAGAAAAGCTGGAGAGGACAAAGTCGAAGTCTGGCATGTGGGACAACAGCGACTGATGCAGCCATATGTCCCAAGAGTCTCTGGATGGATCGGGCAGGAACCGTCCTGTCCTGTCACATTCGATGGATGTGCTGAGCAAGAGCCTGCTGTCCGTCCTGTGGGAGGAAGGCTCTTGCCGTCATGGAATCTAGACGAGCTCTGATGAAAGTGATCATCTGTGCGGGAACAAGAGAAGATTTCTCAGTGTTAATGCAAAGTCCAAGGTTTTGCAGCAAAGTACAGGTTGTATGAATTGAAGCAATAAGTCCTTGTCTGGTTTGGGAGACTAGCAACCAATCATCGAGGTAAGGGTAAATTTGAACACCTCTCAGTCGTAGACAGGCACAGACAGGTGCCATGCACTTTGTAAAAACCCTTGGAGCAGTGGCCAGTCTGAAGGGTAACACTGTGAATTCAAAAACTTCAGACGCAACAGCAAAACGAAGGAAACACCTATGACACGGATGGATCAAAATGTGGAAATAGGCGTCCCTTAAGTCCAATGAGGTGAACCAGTCCTCTCTCCTCAGCAACAGTAAGATGTTTTGAAGGGTGGTCATCTTGAATTTTTTTGTAGTGATGAACTTATTGACGTTTCTTAAGTCAAGTATCGGACGAAGACCATTGTCCTGCTTCGGGACTGTAAAATATCTCAAATAGAATCCATGGAGTCCTTTTGTTTGAGCTAATTGATGAATTGCTCCTTTATGGAGAAGATGTTGAACTTTGTCAATCAATGCTGGTGAGGATGGAGCGAACCGGATCAGGCTCGATGGAGGAACAATGTTGAATTCTATCCGATATCCTTGCTGAATGATGGACAACACCGACCGATCAGATGTGATGGACTCCCAAATGGGGAGCTGGCCTTTCAGCCGGTCCCCAAATGAGAGAGGGGTAGGTGGGAGAGGGAGTAGAGGAAAGGTTCGCCTGTCCCGTCAACGTTGCCTCCTGTCACCATCGAAGTGACGATGGCCTTGTTGGTAGCGTTGAGGCAGTTGTTGTCAGCGGCATTGCTGCTGTTGTTGTCGGTGTGGAGGTTGCTGCCTTGGGTGGTACAGCTGACAGTACGACGGGTGGGTCCAAGACCACTTACGTCTGGTTTGGGGCTGAAGCTCCATCCACCGAGCTGTCATCCTGTATTCGTGCATCTTTTTGAGTTTGTGGTCGGTTCTAGAATGGAAGAGCCCAGACCTGTCAAAGAGCATCTCCTCTAAGTGCCTCTTCGTCTCCTCCGGCAAGTTGCAATTGCGTAGTCATGCATGCCTCCGGAGGGAAACGGCACCGACCAGGGCCCTGGAGTCTGTGTCCACGTGATGTTGGGCGGTGGACAGCAGTTGGAATGCGACCTGCATAGCCTCTTTTATGAAGACTTTCACGAGGTCGCCTTGGTTGTCTGGGAGAGCCGAGATGACATTGTTGAGGTGCTGCATTATAAAATACTGGTACCGAGCCAGTGTCGCCTCATAGTTCAATATCCTCAAGCTGAGTCCAGAGGCCGCATAGACTCGGCGAGCTAGGGAGTCGATTTTCCTGCCTTCCTTATCTCGGGGCACGGTATGACCCCTTGATTCCCTACCCTGGGAGGACTCCACCATGACCAAATTCGGTTTTGGATGACGGAGAAGGAACGGAATGTCCTCCTCCCGAACCCGGTACATGGCTTCGTACCTCCTCGAAGTTGGCTGAGGATGGGAGGGCAGGTCCCACAGCTGGATCATAGCTTGCCGCAAGGTGGTAATAAGCGGCAAGACTATTGATGTCGACTGCTCCCCACGGACGACATCATAAAATTTGTCGGTGCTGGGGCCAGGCCGTTGTATGGCATCGATTTCCAATGACTGGACCAGATGTGACATCAGCTCCGCAATGGAGATGTGGGATTTGTCAGGGGACCCAGGGCCCTGGGAAATCACCGCGACATCCAGAGATGTAGAGTCGACGTTGGAGTCGTCAGAATCAACCCCATAGTATTGGGGGGGGGGGGGCAGAGGAGGAAGACTCTGCCAGCGACATGGACCGGCTGCTCTCCCTGGTCAGTATTGTAGAGGCACGCCTCGGGACTGAAGATGTTGGACGGTCATGAGGAGCTGGTGGAGAGGAGTGACCTCTAGGAGCCGGGTAATGTCCAACGGAATGGTAGTCCCCCCCATCCATGGTAGAACGAAGACTGAGGATGGTACCAAATGTTGGATCTTCTCTCAGACGAGGGGCTTCTCCTGCTCCCAGGAGGAGACATCTCCATCTCTGTGTCCAGTCTGGCTGGGGGCATAGGCGTGGGGGACCTAGCCCTGGGTGGGAAATCTCGAATCTCCCTGTCGGAGATCGACTCCCTAAGTGGAGCTTGGAGAGGCTCTGATGTTGATTCGTCCACTCGACGAGGGTACCCGAGAGGGGTAACCCTCATGGCCGCCTGGAGTGTTGGGCCTGGTGGTGTCGGTACCGTGACAGCCGTCAGGACCGAGGGGGCCGATGAACCCAAGTCTTGGTGCTTAGAGTGCTCCGGGTTCTTAGATTTCCGAGGCGGCTTCCCGGCCTTATCTCTTTTGGCCTTCTTGTGTTCAGACAGCTTATCGGAGCCGCTGTGCTTCCGTTTTTCACTCTTCTTAGGTGGGGAAGCAGGCCGATCACCCAAGGTAGATGCAACTTCATCCAAAGGGTGTGAGGGCGGAGCCCTGGAAGAAGAGGCCAGTGGAGCAGGCGGGGCTGGGCGGGTAGCCACAGCCACGGTCAGAGCAGGGCGGGAGACTAGTGGGTCCAATTGGAGGAGTGCACGGTCCCACAGAAGCCTCTGAAGGCGGTTCTCATGATTCTTCCTGGCCTGCTTCAAGAAGGCCAGGCAATGAGAACATTTATCTGTCCTATGACCTTCCTCTAAGCAGAGAAGGCATAGGTCATGCAGGTCTGCCGGGGACATCTTAGACCCTCATTCCACACACTTACAGAAAGCTGCTCATTGCGCCATCGTTAGAAGAGAAATAAAGGAGATAGTGCAGAGGGTAATAATATATTTTTGGTTTTTTTTTTTTTTAGAAAGAGAGAAGGAAGTGAATAACTAGAGAACAACACGAGAAACAACAAGAACTATCAAAAAACGGGGTCAGTAACTTGGAAAGAAGAACAATCGCAAAGGTTTAGAAGGACGAGGAAATGGTCAGAGCGAGAGCGAAAGCGGCATGAGGCACAATGAACGGCAGTCGCAAAGACTGGAAAATGGCGGACACTCCGCTCCATATATACTGCTAGGGGGGAGGGGAGAAGAGTTTTCCCACCAAACCGTTAGCTATCAATCTTCCAGCCACAGGCACTGCGCAGGCGCAGTATCCCATATGTGGGATGCACAGAGGCCACGATGAAGAACCAGTGATTCAGCAAGAAAGGGCATGCTTACGAGTTGCTGTGCTGTGTCAACCCAGTCATTGTATAATTCTGTTTGCTGTTTCATTGAGCAAGTAAGAAAGAGAACAATAGAACTCTCTGAAAGTAGTTCCAGGATTTTTCAGGCACAAGAGTCAATGAGCAGTAGCAGAAGATACCATGGAAGAAGCAAGCCATATGTAAAAGGCAAGTGAGGGGAAGGGGGCTGAGTGGCGTTAGAGGAATGGTGGGGAAGGGGTGGGCAGAGGACAGAGTGTGCATGTGCGAATAAGAGAGACAGAATGAGATCCAAGCAAAGTAAACTAGTAATGTCTAGTTCAGATTTCCTCTGCCTGTAAACTAACAAAGTGGTCTAACTCACAAAGGCAGCTGTGAGAATCACTCTTCAGCACTTTTCCCTGGGAAATAGTATGATTTATCTTCTCTGATGGTACCTTTTATATTATAGACAATTTGCAAGCTCAGGTAACTGTGCAAGAAATGTGCTGGAAAGAACATATAAAGTGGTCTTTAGTTCTATGTACACATTATACATAATTAGGTTTTATTTGCTTTAGGAATAAGCTATGTTGTACCCTGTTCTCAAAATAATAACATTATTTCCAATTCATAATGATAATTAAATGCAATTAATTGCTGGACTACTTCAGTATCTTAAATGAGTGTTGATTAAACTGTTGAAAGAAAAGTCTGCACACTTGTTCTAAAGGTAACCTGGGACAATATAAATACCAATGGAAGAAATAAACATTAAAACAAAAAATCAATTACAATATTTATAAATGGTTTTAAACATTTATCCAGTTTGTCCTTGTGATAAGCACAGATAAATTAAATAATGTGAGAGCTGAAAAGCTTATACTTGGTTAGATGCACAAGCATGTGGACAAGAGCATGAGATGTACAAATGCTGAAAGCAATCAATCTTAAGTCAATATAGTGAAAGCCAAAGGAAAATTTATCTACATGTTTGGAAATTCAGCAGTGAGCAGAAGGTTCTAGTCTGAACAGAAAGTCATCAAATAAGGACCACCCAGGGATGGCAAAGTAAGCAAGCATTTTCCTTGGAAAATTAGTTTTGGTTCACAACACTGTTTTCACTAACCTTGGATGGAAGCAGCACCCAGAAAGCCAATCAGTATGACCTTCACCTTTCATGATGATGTTGCCATTAGGGAAGGCCCACATTTTCCACAAGCAATCATCACTTCCAGTGACAACAATATCTTTCCTTGGATGTAAAGCCAAGCTGCAGAGAGGAAAAGGAATAAGTAAAGGGTAAGCATTGGAATCAAAAGAATTTTAGGCACTACATTCCACATTGATTATTGCAATGCTAACATTTAAAAGCACACATACTTAAAAAAAGGCATAATGACAACACAAAAGCCGACTATTTCTATCATTAGTATTAGAAACCAGCTTCCTCCTAATGTCAGAGCTAAAGCCACTATAATCATTCACAAATTCAGAAAACTTCAGAACAAAACAAATCTCACCTGAGGTCCTCATGACACATTTTATAAATGTCTTTGATTTACCAGGGACATACTGCCTTACCCAAACCCTGCAATAATTCTCTTGGTATCTACAGTATAGGCAGATGAGCTATGTGAAACAGAGGGCTACCCTGAATCTCATGATCCAAGCTTGCTCCTGGGTGAGTGGTGGGTGGGCCCTGAGAAACAGAGCCATCCTGTTCTTCAAATGCTGAGTGGGACAGCTGGGATTTAAATGTCTTCTACTATTAACACTTTAATAGTATTCTTTACTAACTATTCTATATGAAGTAGATTCATTAGAAGTACACAAATCATTCCCATTATATAAAACTGAATCCAAATAAAAATGCCCTCCTGTAATCTTTTTCAGCCTGGGCATATTTCACTATTTTCACTATCACAAAATAGATTTGATTTTTCCCGCTTTTTTCTAGTCTTTTAAACATCTCATAGGTATAAGGGTGTGTGTGTGTGTACATATATGAATGATATATATGTGTCAGCAGCTAGTTTTCTTCAAAATGCTTTGTAATAATCTGTAGCAAGGCTAGTTGGTGAAAATAACATGTATAACATATCAGAGAAAATAAGCTCTTGCCACTGGAATGTAATACAGAATGTACAATTCATAGGGTTTTCCCCTCCCCCACATCTATTTTAATTATAGTGTTCCTATAAAATGCTAAAGCTGCTCAAGAACTGTACAACCAAAAGTGAATACCATTTAATTAGCAGCCGGGTTGGTGACACAAGTATGGTTGGGTTGCCTCTTGAAAAAAGAAATTACATTCATCCCTCAAAGAGTGCCATATGTGTAACATTAATTAGGTGCCCTTGACTTCCTTTCAGCAACTCTGCATTGTAAAAAGTTTTACTTCATCTTTGTTCTTAGGGTCTAATTATTTCCAATACAAAAGACCTTCTAGATTCAAGTAAAACTATGTTAAGAGGCCATGTCACATGTGTTTTGAGCAATTTTCCCCTCCTCCCTCTGCACAAGGTTCAAGCCTCAACATTATATAGCAGTATGGAATCCATTGTTACCATTTTTATATGGCATCTGCTGCATTTATATACCTATTGCAAAATTGGAAATCATTAAACATGTATTGGAACATAAATACAAGGGGACACATGTGCAATATGTGTCATATATGATGATTAATAATTCCAATTGTAAATTGAAATGTTGAGGAAATGCAATTTCAGTGACAATTAATATCTTTATATTAAACTGTATGTCATCCTGATGGGAACCTCACAGTTTTAAAAATCCTCATAGGTTTATGTTTTATGTGACATTCCTTTATTTATATCTAGCAAATAGTTTTAGAAGCTTTTGTATATTTCATGGGGTTCCACTCTACCACAAATATCCTTTGAAAGGATAGTGCTTTGGATTAAAGAGAGTGGATTTTGCTTCCCTGATCTTTCCTTACTCAGTGGACATGTACTAGATTTTGGTCTTTTCTACTTAGTATAGATTCCTCTCTCTGGCCTCTGCTAGAATTGTAATTTTTTATTTATGTGATTTATAAAAATGTATTTGATAGTCCCAACCAGAATCTCCATGTCTCTTCCCAAGTGGATTGCAGTGGATTCTCACACTACCAGAATGTGCCTCCAGCAGTGATGGCAGTTAGGGAGGTGTGACGTGTGCTTTCATGTCAATTGCAGTATTTTCACATGAAAAATTAACTCCATGGAGAAATCCAGATTTAACGATTTTGAAGAAAATGGACAGGGTGATTTCAACCTTGGATCAGCTTGTTGGTTCTGATACAGAAGTGAGTACACCCTTCACATTTTGTAAATATTTTATTATATCTTTTCCTGTGACAACCCTGAAGAAATGACACTTTGCTACAATGTAAAGTAGTGAGTATACAGCTTGTATAACAGTGTAAATTTGCTGTCCCCTCAAAATAACTCAACACACAGCCATTAATGTCTAAACCGCTGGCAACAAAAGGGAGTACACCCCTAAGTGAAACTGTCCAAATTGGGCCCAAAGTGTCAATCTTTTGTGTGGCCACCATTATTTTCCAGCACTGCCTTAACCCTCTTGGGCATGGAGTTCACCAGAGCTTCACAGGTTGCCACTGGAGTCCTCTTCCACACCTCCATGACGACATCACGGAGCTGGTGGATGTTAGAGACCTTGCGCTCCTCCACCTTCTGTTTCAGGATGCCCCACAGATGCTCAATAGGGTTTAGGTCTGGAGACATGCTTGGCCAGTCCATCACCTTTACCCTCAGCTTCTTTTATTTATTTATTTATTTATTTATTTATTTATTTATTTATTTATTTATTTATTTATTTAAAACATTTCTTTGCTGCCCCATTCGCCGAAGCCTTGGGGCGGCTCACAACATAAAATTAAAATATAATACATCCAAATAAACAACAAATTAACAATATAAAATAAGTCACCCTGGCCAGATAAAATAAGCAAATAATATTAACAATTAAAATGACGTTTAAATAAAAAGGTCTTCGCCTGGCGCCGAAAAACAAATAACGACGGCGCCAGGCGGACCTCTCTGAGTGTCATGGTTCCCTCAATGAACTGTACCTCCCCAGTGCCAGCAGCATTCATGCAGCCCCAGACCATGACACTCCCACCACCATGCTTGACTGTAGGCAAGACACACCTGTCTTTGTACTCCTCACCTGGTTGTCGCTACACACGCTTGACACTATCTGAACCAAGTAAGTTTATCTTGGTCTCATCAGACCACGGGACACGGTTCCACTAATCCATGTCCTTAGTCTGCGTGTCTTCAGCAAACTGTTTGCGGGCTTTCTTGTGCATCATCTTTAGAAGAGGCTTCGTTCTGGGATCACAGCCCTGCAGACCGATTTGATGCAGTGTGCGGCGTATGGTCTGAGCACTGACAGGCTGACCCACCACCCCTTCAGCCTCTGCAGCAATGCTGGCAGCACTCATACGTCTATTTCCCAAAGCCAACCTCTGGATATGATGCTGAGCACGTGCACTCAACTTCTTTGGTCGACCATGGCGAGGCCTGTTCTGAGTGGAACCTGCCCTGTTAAACCACTGTATGGTCTTGGCCACCGTGCTGCAGCTCAGTTTCAGGGTCTTTGCAATCTTCTTATAGGCTAGGCCATCTTTATGTAGAGCAACAATTCTTTTTTTCAAATCCTCAGAGAGTTCTTTGCCATGAGGTGCCATGTTGAACTTCCATTGACCAGTATGAGAGAGTGAGAGCGATAACACCAAATTTAACACACCTGCTCCCCATTCACAGCTGAGACCTTATAACACTAACGAGTCACATGATACCAGGGAGGGAAAATGGCTAATAATGCCCAATATGGACAGTTTCACTTAAGGGTGTACTCACTTTTGTTGCCAGCGGTTTAGACATTAATGGCTGTGTGTTGAGTTATTTTGAGGGGACAGCAAATTTACACTGTTATACAAGCTGTATACTCACTACTTTACATTGTAGCCAAGTGACATTTCTTCAGGGTTGTCACAGGAAAAGATATAATAAAATATTTACAAAATGTGAGGGGTGTACTCACTTCTGTGATATAGTGAAAATATCTATCCATGAACAAATATGATACACAGGCTTTCAACCAATAATGAATATGGGTGAAATATGGCTGAATGGAATAACGAAATGCAGAATCCTATTTTGCCCATTCAGTGAAGTGTTTCACTGTGATCTAGTTTGGAAGGGCTAATGAATCTTAGGTTACTTTTAATTCAGCAAAAAATGATGTTTTAAGTATACTGAACATCACAGTATAGGGATTAAATTAAATCAGCTAAATGTTGGAAGTGTAAAGCAGCTAATTTGTAGGTTTTGGTCATGCCTCATGGATGCTTCTTTTTGGAAAAGGTAATAAGTCAGATAAAACTTGTGATGGAAAGTTCTTTGGTATTCAGTGATAAACATGTCCTTATTAATTCCTAACCCATCTCTTGGAATTTAACACAACAGCAACATAAAAGGGATTTTCCGTGCTCTTTTGACAGCTAAAAAACTAGTACTACAACACTGGAGTGATGAACACTGGTGAACTGTCCTCCCCAAGATGAACTGGAGGGGTGGTGGCCAGGCAACTCCATGCCTTCTTGGAGGAAATGAGTTATCTCAACTTATTTCAGTTGGGTTTCAGGTCTAGTTTTGGGACCAAGTCATGGTTGCCCTGTAGGATGGACCTTTGCAGGGAGAGAGACAGGGGGAGTGCAACCCAGCTGATTTTCCAGGACCTTTCAGTGGCTTTTGATACCACTGACCATGGTGTCCTTCTGAAGCAGCCTGTCAGGCTGGGACTTAGAGAAAAGGCATTGTGCTGGCTCTCCTCCTACCTGGAGGATCATTGCTCTGCACCATGGCACTTCCGTCATGGAGTATCACAGGGTTCAATTTTATCCCCCATGCTTTTCAACATCTACATGAAATCACTGGGAGATGTCATCAGGAAGTTTGGGCTGAAGTGTCATCAATATGCTGATGATAATCAGTTCGACCTCTCATTTTCATCTGATCCGGGGGTGGTGGTCTCAGTGTCTGAACTCAGTAATGGGTTGGATGAAGGCCAATAAACTCAAGCTCAATCCTGATAAGACAGAAGTATTGCTGATGATTAAACCCATATCAACTGGGAGATTATAATCCTGTCCTGGATGTGGATGCATTCCCTCTAAAGGTAGTCTGTTATTTGAAAGTAGTCTTGCCACAGTCATTCAGGCACTGGTAACCTCCA